AATTCTGGCTCAGCTCCTCAGCTGGTGTAAACCACAGAATTGCTGGATCCAGTGGAGTTAAGGGATTTACACTCATGTGGAATCTGACTTCGTCTGAGGGTATTTGTTGACCCCCCATATCTCAGGTCTGGCTGAACTGTGCTCATCACAGGAAATGAGATGCAGGCCAAAGGTGGCTTTAATCCTTTGAGTATATCTACACTGCACACTAAGCCTTGGTCTTGTGGCTTTGGTATTTCCAAGTCCACATCTCAGTCTCACAGACATGCTAATGTGTCTCTGCCTTGAGCTGCATACACACTGCAAGATGACAGAGTTCTGAGTCCTGACTGGATTTGGGTTCTGACCTATTGTCCTTACATGGTCCTCGGTCCCAGGTTCTGCGTGCTTGTTGAGCCCAGATTGTTTTGTCTGTGGACAGAAGCAGGGCTTGGACTCAAACCTTACTCAGAGCCTGGACTATGAGTAGGCAGTGTAGACATATACTTTATGTATGGCTTTGTGTATGGCTCTCTAATTCTGGTTTGAGCTGGTCAGATCCTAGCTTGTGAGAGAGAAGTCAGAGGCACAAGTTAGTGTTTAATGCATCTGTTATGACCTCCACAGGCTGTTCAAGCAGCTATGAGTGGCTGGGGTACAGAATTGCTACATCAATGCCCCACTTCATTTTTCCATGTTCCTTTTGCCTGAGATTGAGGGGCTTACATGAGGAGTGCTCCCAGCTGGATAGGTCCACCAGGTTCACATCTTCTTTGTGTTGCTGCAGCAACACACATGCTCCTGAGTGCATCTGCGGATTAGGCCCATTATTTGTGAGTAGCTGCTGAATACTTGGAATAACCTATTACTTGTCCACAAGCTGTTACTTTCCACTGTTCCTCATCAATGGTGTGAAGTTGGTTGCCTATGTCACATGGCAAAGTGATGAAAGGTCCAGAAAACATGGCCATAACCAGAAAGATTGAAAAAAAATGGGCTTGTTTACTCTGGAGCACAGAAGACTGAGGTGGGACTTGGTAACAATCTTCAAGTATGTAGAAGACTGTTCTGAAGAGGAGGGCGATAAATTGTTCTCCTTAACTACTGAGGAGCAATGGATTTAAATGGTAGCTTATGTAAGGAAAGCCTTCCTAACTTCCAGGAAAGCATACACTGGAGCAAACTGCCTTGGTGGTTGGGGAATCTGTCACTGCAGATATTAAAGAACAGGTTAGAACCACTTGTCAGTGATGGTGTAGATCAGGGTGGGCAATAATTTTTGATGAGGGGGGCCACACCAAGATTTTGGAAAATGTTTGAGGGCCGCACTCTTCCATGATACGAATGGAGGAGGTGCAGGGACTAGGATGGAGGCTGGGTGCAGAAGAGAACGTGGGGTAAGGGTTAGGGTGCAGGAGGGAGTGTGGGGTCTGGGAGGGAGTTTGGGTGAAGGAGGCATTTGTACTTGGAGTACTGAACTGGGGTGCAGAGGTTTGAGTTGGGACCTAGGGCAGGAGGGGATTGGGACCTGGGTCAGAGTATTGGGGTGCAGGTTCTGGGAGGGTATTTGGGTGTAGAAGGGGGACAGAGTTTGGGTTATGTGGGGTAAGGGGCAGGAGTGGGGGTGCAGAGAGCTGGGAGAGGGAGGGGCAGGGGTGCCAGATGTAGCCTCTGGCCAGGAGACTTACCTGGATGACTCCCAGCCAGCAACCCGGAAAGTTTTTGAGGCAGCCCCCCTGCCTGCCCCGCCACTAAACAGGCTGCAGAGATCGTCTGCAAAAACTTCTTGCACAAGAGCGCATCAACACTGCACGGCTACATCTATACTGCAGTCTTCTTGTGGAAAAGCATATGCAAATGAAGTGTGGTGTGGAATAGCGCCACGCTTCATTTGCATAAGCAACCGTTTTTGTGCAAGAAGCTTTTGTGCAAAAACGACCAGTGTAGCTGGCTCCTTTTTGTGCAAAACTCCCGTCTTGTGCAAGAGCTGTTCTTCTAGAAAAAATTAGAAAGAACGGCTCTTATGCAAGAGGGGGTTTTGCGCAAAAAGGAGCCGTCTACGCTGCTCGTTTTTGTGCAAAAGCCTCTTACGCAAAAATGGCTGTTCATTACTTCTGTAAATGAAGCGCAGCAGTATTCCACGCCATGCTTCATTTACATATGCTTTTCCACAAGAAGGCTACAGTATAGAAATAGCCCAAAAGCACATTGAAAAAGTGATGTGCTTTTGTGCAAGAGAGTGTCCAGCCTGCATGGACGCTCTCTCAAAAGGAAACTCTGATTGCTATTTACAGAATGGCCACCAGGGCACCTGTGGTTTTTTCGATTGCCTCTTTTTGCACCAAAAAACCCTGTTCCCTGTCCACACGCACTTTTGTGCACAAGAGCTCTTGTGCAAAAAGGAGTTATTCCTAGTAGAAGGAGGAATATCTACACCACAAAACCCCCTCTGTTCTTTCGTTTTACTTGCACAAAAATGCACTTGAGGTATGGATGCTCTGCTAGTTTTTGCAGATGGCCAAAAATGGCTGTTTTTGTGCAAAAACTCGGTAGTGTAGACCTAGCCACAACTTATGACATTCTCTTTTTGTTAACGACCTGCATAGCAGCAGAAAAATCTTGTCACCCCTACATTGTGGAAAGGGGAAATGATTTAATGCAGTGTTCTAGCTCATCAAGATATTATCATCTGCAGTGGAAACAGGAACTGAGCATTTAAAATAGAAAGAGTGGCCCATGTCAAATGTGTCACAAGAGCAACACTTCATAGAGGGTGAGACTCAGTCTTCCTTGGGCATGTTGCACAAGATTAATGCTCTGCTCTGTTGCTTCCATTCAGCTAAGCTGTCATCATACTGCCAAAGTAATGCATTGGGCCTTAGTGCAATTTGAGTGGCAACATTAGTGGAGTGTACATGGTACTGCTTGCCAGGCCTGATTCAGCAAATCACATGAACACCTGCTTGCGTGTCATTCAGATCAGTGGGATTTCAACCTGTTTTTAAAGTGGAGGATATGCTTATGGGCTTTTCAGAATGGGGCCTATCGCAAGCTGGAGAGTCAGCATCTGACCCAGGAGGAGCCAGGAATGAGCCAGTGACCCTGGGGGTGTTGTAGATCAGGGGTCTCCCATGGGCCAGTCCTGGCTGGAGTGATTGTGCAATCCAGCCTGGGATTCCTGGCAGGCAAGGGATTGCCTATTCATTACCATCCCCAAGTCCCTCTCCTTCCTGCCGTCACTCTGCCCTCGCCCCCTATGGCACTCCATCCCCTGAGCACATGGTTTTGGAGATCTCTGGCAGGAAGGCCCTGGTACTGCATGGCAGCAGTGATCACATCCCTGGCACTCCTGTGTGGCAGGAGTCACAGGGGAAGTGAAGTGCACTGGCTCCCCTGTGCCCCACCCCCCCCCCGGTGATCCCCAAAGCCACATGCTTGGGGGATGGGATGCCATGGGGAAGATGGCAGAGTGATGGCAGAGCTTGGGGGCTGGTAATGAACAGCATCCCCCCCAAACCTGCTGGGAGTCCCAGGATGGATTGCACAATTGCTCCAGCTGGGACTGGTCTGTGGGCCAGGAATTTGAGGTCCCTGTTAGAAACATTCCCTAGGGTCCAGGTACCCCACTCCACTATTCCTCATCAGTTGCATGAAGGATGAATGCTCCCTGAGGGTATGTCTACATGGGCTCGTTATTTCGAGCTAGGTAGGCAAATCAGGCAACCGGAGTTGCAAATGAAGCCCAGGATTTAAATATCCCAGGCTTTATTTGCATGTTTTATTGCATACACCTCATTCCACGAGGAGTAACAGTTAATCCGAACTAAAGACTTAGTTCGGGTTAACTTTAAACTGCCGCGTGTAGCCATGGGCAGTTCGTTCAAACTAAGGGGGATTTAAAAATGGTGGCCGGACGGGAACATGCAAATAAAGCCCAGGATATTTAAATCCCGGGCTTCATTTGCAACTCCAGTTGCCTGATTTGCCTACCTAGCTTGAATTAACGAGCTAGTGTAGACATACCTTGGGAGACTTGGTGAGATTCTCCACTCTAGGCAGGACTGACAGACCTTTTCCTGCACTTCTTTTCAAAATGCTTAGTTTAATCACAAGTAGCCAGCATCTGCCCCATGATTACAGAGCAAGTTCCACTGGCTGAATGGTAATCAGAACCTCTTCTTCTCAGAGATTGCTGGGGGCAATTACACGAGGGGCCAGTAATTATTTGTTGAAAGACTAAACATATTCTGGAAACCACTTCACTCCACAGCAGAAATGTCATGTCTTTGCTCATTAATTATACAAGCAATTCCCAGGGAATGCTTTGTGACCACACCCAGGTGGGAATGAATCTTCCTCTAGGTTACCATCTGCTCTGTAGGGGGCAAGATGGATCTTGTGATGGCTAAGATCTTGTGAAGCTCTCAAGTTATTTTTAGTGCTTGCAAATATAATTTGACCCAAATAGTTGCCCTGTGTATCATTTATGTGCTGTAGCCATTTCTTCTCCCTTGTGCTGCTCTGCTCCGTTGCCTCTTTCTTTCTCTGGTTTTCCTCATCTTCAGTTTTCACCTTTTTTCCTGGATTTTGCTCTATGTCCTTTTCCATAGTGGTCCCTAAGCAGACCTCAAGACCTTTGGAAAGGAATTTTAGAAAGAGTCTGTTTGAGAAAGTTTGAAATTAAGCAAAGCAAGTTTTCCCTGCGCACATGTGTATTTGTATTTTATGTGTGTGCGTGCACATGTGCATGTAGAGAGATGCCTGAGGGATATAACAATGGGCCAAATCCTGCAGTCCTCCCTCAGTCAAAACTCTTGTGGTAGCAAATGAAATTTATTAGTGAAGAAATATTACAAGGCTTAGTCATCATTATCTCCACCATCAGTGCAGCTCCCCTGGGCAATCTACTTTGCCATTGAAGAGTGACAGCCATTTGAGCAGAAAGCCCTCTTGGCTCTCTCTAACTAGCTTGGATGCCTTACAGGAAGGAATTGTGTTCTCAGTATTTATTTACTTTCCAGGTTCCAGCCAGCAGCAGGTTTGATGGAGAGGATCCAAGCGATTGCTCAGAACGTCTCTGACATTGCAGTGAAAGTAGATCAGATTCTCCAGAACAGCCTCATGAATGGGAAAGGTAAGAGTGCCATGAAGTTTCTGCCCATTCAGTTATTCTCTGTGCTCAGCACATTCACAGCCTCAGGAATGTTGACATGCTATACAGGTGTCTAAGGGAAACCATAGAAACAAGCCAAATACAGTAGCTTTGGATGCTGAATTTGGATGCTGAGCTGAAGTTCCCCAAATCACTTGTGGATGGTGAAACATCTCAAGAAAATGGGCTATTTGATGAGATTCCTGCTACTTCCTGTGTCTGGCTCCATGTGAATTTAGTGCTGATGAAATACAGGGATTCCAGAATAGGAACAGCACTGGCCAGAGCAGTGCTGAATGCACCTATTGCATCATCATCAGCATGTTTCAAACCTCAGGCGGTGAGATTAGCTGGGTCTGGAAGATGCCTTTGGCCTGCATAGTTCAGTCAAGATGTGGGCTATGCTTTTCCAAAGTCTCTATTCAAGGGACTTTTATTCTCTCATTTCTTGGAGAACAAACTTGAAATAACTTTTAAAGGGGCCAACTTTTCAGAAGCAGATGCTTTAATGCAGTGGTAGGGAACCTCTGATCCGCAGGCCAGATGCAGCCCCCAGCAAGACTGGGCTGGAGCACACAAAATCTATTCACTGGGCCCCCCAGTCTCTGGTGTGCAAGGGGAATATGGAAAGTGTCTTTCTCCTTCTCAGAGGCTTCTCACTTGTGTGCGGCCCCCGACTGAGTTTTTTGTGGGTCAGTGGCCCCCAACCTAACAAAGGTTCCCCACCCCTGCTTTAACGTGTCTCAAAAACGGAGACACTTTTGCAACTTGTGTCTTATCTTCTGTGCGAGAGGGCAGTGATCAGTGTGAGATCTCAAACTCATTTTTCACTTTGAGTGTGTCTAAACTACACCCCACTGCCGACAGAGGGATGTAGATTAGGCACATCGCTATTGCAAATAAAGTGGGGGTTTAAATATGAATAGATTTAAATATTCATTTGAATAGAAATGGCCGTCGCTTTTTGCCACTGAGGCACTAAGCCGGCAAAAAACAGCAGTCTAGATGGGAATTGGTCGACAAGGAAAGCCTTTTCTGGCTGATCTTGCAAACCTTGTTGCACAAGGCCTAAGGGGTATAGTTTAGACACTCCCTTTCTGAACAGCTGTTAGGCTCTTTAGAAATACCCAAGATATGGATACTTCTCACAGTTACATGGTATAAGTGAGCATTGGTTGCTGCTTTCAGTCACTAGTGAGCTGATACAGAAGTAAATGACTGTCTCTCTTAGAACTGGTCCTCTGAGCCAGTGATCACCGGCTGATGGCGAGTCACAGGTCAATCATGATCTATGACGGTGCAGAAGGGCTGCTGCTAAGACTGGCTTGCTCCCTGTCTGCCCCAGCCCCAGCCCCAGCCCCACACCACTCCTGGAAGCAGCCAGCACAGCCACCTGTCCCTGTGGGGGAAGCAGGGATCTTGGCACGTTGCTTCTGCCTGCAAACACCATCCCCACAGCTCCCATTGGCCATGTAAAAGGAACTGTGGCAAATGAGAGCTGAGGGGGCAGTGCCAGGAGAGCCACATGCCGCCAGCCTCCATTCCAGGAGCCCCAGGGGTGTGTTGGCCCCTTCCAGGAGTGGCATGGTGCTGGGGCAGGCAAGAAGTCTGCCTTAACCTTGCTATGCTGCAAGAGCTGCCCGCAATAAGTGCTGCCTGGTGGGAGGCCAAACCCCAATCCCTGGAGCCAGCAGCCCATCCTGCCCCTACACCTCAAACTCCCTCCTGTACTCTAAGCCCTCTCCCAAAGTTAGCACCCTGCACCCTTCAGAGGGGGATGGAGTGATTGCAGTGGGGCTTCAGGGAAGAGACAGGGCCTGGGAAAAGGGGCTGTGTGGTTCCTGGGTTGCCCTTAAATTCCAAAAGTGATCTCGGCTATAAAAATGTTTAATGACTACTGTGAGCCATTGTCTCCTGCCCCCAAGAGGAACGCTGCCTTTGGGGTATGGGCTCAGTCAGAAGCTGGAACTGCAGAAACAAAGGAAAATGAAAAAATGGTGGAAGCAAATGAGAATATTTCAAATCTCCCGAATTATTCACTTTGGATCAATTCACATTTTGGATGAAAGATCAATGTGGGTGTGGGTGGGAGGGGGTATTTTAGCAGAAATAGTTAGCTCACATCTAGCACAAATGAGAAAAAAATCTATTCCCTGGGTGCTGCAGAGGCAGGTGTGATATTACTCCTCTGACAGCCCATTGGACTCATTGGATGGCCATGAACAAGTCATTTATCCTCGCTGTTCCACCTGCACAATGGGAATAGTAGACTAGGATAGAGCCTTTGGGGATTAATGAGTTAATATTTCTAAAGCACCTTGACTATAGGTATGCTAGAGCTAAAGTAAACCACTGGTGAGCATGTTACAGGCTCCCCTCTGTGCCTGCTCTTCAGAGGGAAGGAATTTGTTACACTGGCAACCCTCCACTGGTTAGGCCAGGCTGTGGCAGTCTGTGCTTTTAGCTGTGCAGTTCCTGATTCAGTTCCAAGGAGGCTGGTCAAGATGGTGGCTTGTCATCCCAGTATTTGGAATGGCAAAGCCATTTTCTAAGCAAGCACAGACACTTTTGCAGGGTGCATGTTCTAAAGCCCATATGCACCCGCCATGGCTAAGGCACTGCTGCAATTTATCCCACAGCACACCCTGGAGTGCATTATTGTGTTCCCAGTGCTCTTTGCCTGATTAAAAATGTCAATACAGGCAGTCCCCGGGTTACGTACAAGATAGGGACTGTAGGTTTGTTCTTAAGTTGAATCTGTATGTAAGTCGGAACTGGCGTCCAGATTCAGACACTGCTGAAACTGACCACCAGTTCTGACTTACATACAGAATCAACTTAAGAACCCCAGGCGTCCCCAAGTCAGCTGCTGCTGAAACTGATCAGCAGCTGATTCCAGGAAGCCCGGGGCAGAGCAACTCTGCCTGGGGCTTCCTGGAGTCAGCGCTGGTCAGTTTCAGCAGAAGCTGACTTGGGGACGCCTGGGGCAGAGCAGCTGGGGTGCTACTGGACCAACCCAGCAGCACCCCATCTGGGTGCTACTGGACCAACCTAGCAGCACCCCATCTGCTCTGTCCCAGGGTCCTG